ATGGAAATGACGCAACATAATAGATAGTATAAAAATACATATTTCTGTCGGAAGTATTCTTCATTCTATTGAGACTTTTATAAAGATTTTCGAGCTATTACGTTACGAAAATGGTTTTGCGCAGTTATACCTCAGGATAACGTATAGTCAAACTATCGTGTAAAAAGTCTAGAACTAACACTCACAAAACTTTGCAAACTATTTCAACCAAAACTCTTCAATGTTCTGCCCTTTACATTATGGCTGATAAAATGCTATAGAACTAGAAATGTTCAGTTTCAGTGTCAGAACATAAACTGCCTTTTTTGGTTCTGAAGTAAGGATAGAAACCAAATGAAAAAAATTCGTTTTGTATTGAACAGAGAAATCAGAGATCCGCACGGGCCGAAAATTCGGCTCGGCCCGATGATGAAAGTTTCCGGACCAAGCCCGGCTCGACTCGACCAACTCCTGAAAATTTTCGGGTGCCAAGCGTAATTTTTTTCATTATTAGCTAAACGAAGTCATTAAGAGAGCCTTCACGAGAAAATCAATCCAGGTACCGTAGGTCAAAGATCTTGACATACAAGATTTTTTGAGTCATTACAGATGTAGAGCCAACATTTTCCTACAAAATGAGACGTTGGCGAGCTCTTTACGATGTCTTTTTATGATTTTACACACGTTTTACCACAAGCACTGTATCTGAGGTCGATTTTCCACTGGTTTTGATCTTAGTTTTGACACATTAACCAAATCCAAAAATTCACGTTTTTTCGATTAATCGGCTACCCCCACTCCCAATAGAATGTTTTGTCTCCAGTCTCTTAACAAAACACTTCCAGAATACACTTCCAGAACTTATTGCAGGGTTAGTAGTCATCTTGAACGCTCTTTGGAATGACATGTGAATAATTAAAAAAAGAATTTGCCAACGGACAGTATGTTTGGTGCTGTGATGGAGGCTCTCTTAAGATGTCACGTAACAGTGATAATACTCTTTCTGGGTGCTGAGTATACACATAAATTACAAATCCACGCATACTTAAAAATTCTGAGTCCGGCCCAGCCCGACCACTCTATAAAATTTACTGGTCTGACTCAGCCCGGCCCGTGTTGATCTCTGAGAGAAATATTGAGTTTGATCTTGTTTCGTTCTCTCCCACTTCTCTTACACAAATGATGTCTCTGAATGCTTGGTGGATTCTTTTGTCATCAACTTATTCGTTTCTGTGTGACAGCTGCTTATCTATTGAATATCACATTAAAAAATAAATCAAGGAAAATTCGACGATTACAAAAATAAAATAGGATAGTCTTAAAAACAGTGGTCTCATTTTAATGGCAGAATCAAGCGAGACAAAACCGAACAGTCCTAGTTTGGACATGTGAATCGAATAAAAAACACTAGCAGAGAGCCGATGTTACCGTTGAAAGTAATTTTCTGCTTCTACAAAAATCTTGACCATTATATGCCTTTGAATGCTTAAATCTAGCTATAAAATTCATCTAAAATGTAGAAAAATAGCAATTTTACTTTTGATAATGAGCTAATAGTAGATTCTTAAAGGGTATTGATCGAAGGTTTGTATAAGCATCAAATATGAATCATCTAAATTCCTGTACGATACAAAATTATTCAAAATTTTAAGTTTATACGACGTATAGTTGTCAACGTTTCACTACAACAGTATACAATTTTGCTCTCAGATTCTAAGAATCATTATTTATTCATCCTGATGATATTTCCACATAGAGAGCTATAAAAAAACTGTTTCGAAATAGTGTCATTATTCTAGATTGAATTTCTACGATTGTCTTTCACTGACCAAGGAAGTCACATGCAAAAGTAGCGCTTCTATTAAATGCGAAAAACTATGTAATGCATTTAAGTGCTTTAATATATAAATTAACTAATAACAATAACAATTTCACAAAGAAAAAGAAAAAAATGAGAATAGTTTATGTTAATGCATCGACCAATGAATCTTTAATAGTTTTATTTGTTGTTATTGCATTATTACCACTTAAATTATGATGTTGTCCTAATTTGAACACACTTTCAATGACACTTATTTCGTGAGCCGTTGTATCTAAACCACAAAATGCCATCCAATCATTCGCCATTAAGCCGGCCCCGATAACATCTGATCCACGATTGATCGTACCTGCTACTAGAGGTACTTGTAATAATGATGATAATTCTTCTTGTTCTTGTATCGTCGTTTTGGGATGAACAAGACCCCCTTGATTGGTAAATATTGAATAACTTCCAACTAGGACACGATCGGCGATTGTCTGACGAAAACATTCAACATTTAGAGTATTAGATAATAATTCCTCAGTTTCTTTATCTAAATCAGGATGAATTAAAGCAACATAATCATTACACGCAATAACATTTCCGAGTGCTGATAAACGTTCTTCACAACGACGCAAACGTACAG